GCCAAGTGCTCTCACCCATGCTCATTCTCTGCTGTGACACTCTGGTCCTTCAGCACATGCTGTGGGTGGTGGTGGGGGGAATGTTGTGGATATCGATCGTGTGTGTGTGTGCGTGTGTGTGTGCGTGTGTGTGTGTGTGTGTGTGTGTGTGTGTGTGTGTGTGTGTGTGTAAGGCCTGACCTTCAGGGGGAGTTGCTGCTGACTTGTCTCTCTCTGAACTTGTCTCCTCGACTTTCTGAGATAGGCTCCAGGGTATCTCCCCATGATGGCCCTGGCACCAGCTATACTTTCTGCCCAGGAAATGAATGTTGGTGAGGCCAGGTGGGTGGGGACGTCAGTATAGAGACGGGTGCCGCCCCTGGCATGGGCCTGAGTCGCATCCTGAACGAGATGCGCAATCATGATGGGAAGACGGTAGAGGAGAAGCGTAAGGACGCTGAGGACTGGTTCTGCACCATGGTGGGTGGCTGTATGCAAGCAGGTGTGCCCCAGTGCAGGTGCGGGTGTGGACACTGTGCCAGCTGGAAGCACCTTCGGAAACCACCTGGAGCAGCCCCGTGCCCCACAGGTGTGAGAATGAGCCTCAGAGTGGCCTCAGGCTCCCCGACCCTTGCTTCAATGTGGCCTAGGTGTGTGTGTGGGGGGGGATATGGGGAGCGGAATCTAGATTTCCAGATTGGGGGATGGGGCTTCTCCCTCCATGTGTGTTCTTGGGGGTGTGTGGATTTGCATCGGGAGCTCTCATCCTTGGCAAACATATACTGAGGGCCCTCAGGGTCCAGGAGATGGTCTGTGGTACAGAAGGAATAAAACTCGTTGGGGCCGATGTGTGGTGTAGTGAGAAGTCACTGCCTGTGACGCCGGCAGTCCATATGAACTCCAGTTTGAGTCCTGGCTGCTCCACTTCCAATCCAACTTCCTGCTAATGGCCTGGGAAAGCAGTAGAGGATGGCCCCAGGCTGTGGGCCCTTGTACCCACGTGGGAGACTCAGAAGAAACTCCTGGCTTCTAGTTTCGGACCAGCCCAGCTGTTGTGGGGAGTGGAGCAGCAGATGTAACAGACTTTCAAATAAATAAATAAAGCTCAAAAAAGAAAGAAGGTCTTGAAGAAGTTTAAAAAACCCACCCATTACCCCATGCCCCAGTGCTGCCTGCAGTGAGAATGACCACAAAGCAAGGGGATTCTAGCGGGCATGAGGGTGGCTGAAAGCAGGTGCTTTTGGAACCACAGAAACCACAGCGGGGTGTAGTTTGAGAATTAAGGGATCAGGGACTTCCCTGTGTCCTGCCCCATCTCTACTAGCTCTCTGAAGCCTCCACGACCACCCTGCCTTCCAGATGGGGAGGAAGAGGCTGAGCCGCAAGGTTGCCCCCAACACTGTGCGGAACCTGTGGGTGGAGCCCAGTTCCGACTCAGTGCGGTGGGGCCCCCATCCTCTCCCTGCCCCATCAGCGTCTCCCCATCACCTACGGCCCCACACTGGAACGGCCCCTCTCTGAGCGTCCCGGCTTGGGTTTACTGTGTCTGCCACCTTTCCCTTGGTCCACAGAAAGTGTCCCTTTCTGGCCTAGAGTGAGATGCAGCTGGTCCAGCTGCAGGAACTCAGTGGCAGTGTAGAGCAGCAGTGGAGGGGGCTGCACCAGGGCCTGGTACAGGGCAGAACCGTGAAGACCAAGTGCTGCTGGACAGGGAGTGGGACCCTTGGTGAGTGGCAGGGGGTGGGGGTTGCGCCAGGGGCCACTTGTCCCCAAGACCAGGAGATTTTCAGCATATGAGACTGAGAAGTCAGGCTGGGGTCTGATGGGGGTCTGGTGGGGGTGGAGGGGTAGCCACCACCAACAGCAGGCTTGGGTGTCTGAATGTGGGGGTGAGCGCAGCTCACAGTCAGGACTTCCTAAATGTTGAGCACACACGTGGCGGGGGAGCGAATACCGATGACCCCGGGTTTCTGCTCGGGATGACGGAGCTGTGTTGATACCATTAGCCAGGATGGGCCCGTGGGGCAGGTGGGAGGAGGGAAGGACAGAGAGCGTCCCCGAGTCACCAAGCTTAGTCACCCGCCCCAGCTGCTTGCTCCATGACAGTGCTGAGCCCGTCTGTAGTCTGACCACACTCTTGCTGCTTTTTCACTTCACTTGTTTGTTTTCTTAAGATTTATTTATTTATTTGAAAGCGTTACAGAGAGAAAAAGAGAGGGAGAAAGAGAGAGAGAATGAGAAAGAGAGAGAGAGAGAAAGATATCTTTCATCTGCTTGGGTTATTTCCAAATGTTCCAAATGGCTACAATGGCCAGAGTTGGGCTGACCCAAAGCCAGGAGCCAGGAGCTTCCTCTACTGCTCCATTAACAAGAAGCTGGATTGGAAGCAGGATGGGCAGGACTCAAATCAGTGTCCAGATGGGATGCCAGCATCACAAGTAGAGGCTTAACCCGCTATATCACAGTGCTGGTCCCAGTCTCTTGCTTAACTGCCTCGGTTTGTTGGGCCCTTCAGGACATGGAAACATAAAGCGGCTGGTTGAGCTTCTCCTTGTAAATCTAGGCTGAGGAGCCGCAAAGTGGCCACAAAATGCCGTGGGGCCTTCCGCTGGGTTGGCCTCGCTGCTCCTCCTCCTCCTGCCGCCCTGCTCTTGGCCTGAGCTACTCTTTTCCATGCACCCCAGTGTGATTGCCCAGTTTCTGGGAACCCTTCTGCTTTCTGCTCAGGTCATTCCTGCTGCTGCTCCTCCCCAGCATTGAGCCCAGGGTTCTCCTTCCACCTTGGGCTAATCTGTCCCCCACAATCCTTGCAGTCTGGCCTCTCGGTACTCCTCTTGGTGGTTTCCCAGCCCACCTGGGAGGGTAAGAACCAGCCCTGCTCTCCTCATGGGAGGGGCTGTGTGGACCCAGGAGAGGAGCAGTTGGGCACCCTTTGGGGTGGGAGCTGGGGGAGGCACTGCTGGGCTGGTGGGTGGTGTGGGAGCTCTTGGTCCTGGTCCTCCCCCTGTAGGTGTGGTAAGCAGCTGCCAGGTATGTGCCATCACGAAGGAGGTCTAGGATGGCAAGGTGGTCTCGAACTGCGAGCAGGTGCACCGCCCTGCCCACGGAGGTCCCTTTCTGCCCATGACAGCCCAGCCTTGAGGACCCGGGGCAGTCATGGCCTTCAGCTCCCAGCATGTAATAGCTGTGTCTCAAGCGCCCTTTTAGGCCCTACCAGGCCCTACCTACTAGTTGTTGCTGTTTGTCTCTTCATCCCACAGGCTCTTACCCAGGGAGCCTTCCAGGTCCTCCCACTACCCCTCAACAGTAACCACCATTAAAGCTTTGCCCCAAGTTCAACCTTCCTGTGATTTTATGGTGGGTGTGGCCTCAGGGCAGTGTGGGCTGTGGGATGGGGGCGGAGGAGAGGTTGCTGAACATTTGATGTCGGCTTGCAGCTGCCGAGCTGCTCTGCCCACAGTGGGGCTCCGGGGTGGACATGAGAGAAGGAGGAGGAAGAATTGAGGGTGGAGGCGTGGGACTGTCTGCCAGGCCAGGAAAGTTTCTAAGAATCAGCCTTTGGCTGCCTGATTCCTGTGGTTGGCCTCACAGACTTTCTGGGGACCACACCTGTTACACAGGACTCCTTGCTTCAGCCCAGGGCGGGTTCAAGAGCAGAGGGAGGGGGGGTTGGGCCAGTGAGTGGGGGGCTGGGGGTTTCTGCAGAAGCAGTCCCAGGGCCTTGATGAATGGCAAGGGGGTGGCAGTGTTGTAGTCAGCCTGGAGAACCCGACTGGCCCTGCCCGTCTCTGGGGTGTGTGTGTGTGAGGCGGGGTGGCTGCTGTGCGTGTGAGCGTGGGGGGCGTCCTGTTTGTTTTGGTGGCTTGGCAGCCTCTGGGCGCTTGGGGAATCTCTCGGCTGCTGGTGGGGCTGTCTGGGCCTGTCTGGGAGGTGGAAGCCACCGGCAACCTGAAACAAGACCACGTTCCGCCCAGCAAGCCCCGCCGGGGGAGGGGAGGTACTGGAGGGAGGGGACGGGGTATGTGGCCCACCTGGGGAGGGGGTGGGGGCTGGCTGAGGATGGCAGGAAGAGCCCTCCCCTTCTTCCTGAGGCCTGTTGAGTGCAGAAGGGGGAAATGTCTCCTGAGACCCCTCACTCCTCCTTCCATAGCTAAGTTTGCCTGCCCCACCCAAGGACCCCACCTGCCAGAGGCAGGTAGACAAAAGCTTACAAGATGAATTTGGGCCACCAAGGGGTTCTAGGGGTGATAAGATAGGGTCAGAAACTTGGACAAGATGGAGGCTCAGGCCCTGTCCCAGGGGCTCCCTGAGGAGGGAACAGCAGCCGTGAGCCTGGCCCTACAGCAAGGTGGGATGGTGAATGCCACATCCCTTGCCCAGATACCCCATTTCCTCCTTTGTGACCTGAAGCTGACAGAGCTCCAGCATGGCATGGGGAACACGGTGGTGGTGGGGTTTAAGCCAGTTGCCAGGACAGGTGGGCACTCAGTCTTGTCTGTCTCCCCAGTACCCCCAGACCAGCCCGAGTATGGATGGTACCGGGGCTACCTGCTTCCCTGGCCCCATTTCCCGCACCATCTCAGGCATCCAGGTGGGCTGGGCTGGGGTGGCAGCAGCCTGGGAGGGCCGGGTGATGGTGACGTCGCGCCTGCTCCTCTTGTCCGTATTAGGTCATGGGAAAGCGTAGCTGGAGGGCCTGCCTGAATCACAGGTGACGGCCCGGGACCAGAGACACGCATCCGTACATGCAGACGCCCAGCACGGGGGTTCGGTGAAATGAGGCAAAGCCCCATGATGGGAGGGGAGGGGGCCCACAGCCACCTGGGAGCTGGCAGGGCGCCAGGGGTGATGAAAGCACAGGGGAATGGAAACAGCGGAGCGAGCCTGTCGTAATCGCTACGCCCACTTGCCGGCCTATAAAGGAAGCGGGCGAGCCCCGGCAGCACCACGCACCTGGGCGCCTCTTGCCTCTTTCTGTGGTCTTCTCGCCCCGTGCCTTGCTGCCCGTCACTGCTGCCGCCATGACCACCACCATCCGCCAGTTTACCTCGTCCAGCTCCATCAAGGGTTCCTCAGGCCTGGGGGGCTCATCCCGCACCTCCTGCAGGCTGTCCGGCAGCCTGGGTGGTGGCTCCTGCAGGCTGGGCTCTGCTGGTGGTCTGGCTGGTGCCCTGGGCAGCAGCAACTACTCCAGCTGCTACAGCTTCGGCTCTGGCGGCAGCTATGGCGGCAGCTTCGGCAGCAGTGATGGGCTGCTGGCTGGTGGGGAGAAGGCCACCATGCAGAATCTCAATGACCGCCTGGCCTCTTACCTGGACAAGGTGCGCGCTCTGGAGGAGGCCAACACCGAGCTGGAGGTGAAGATCCGTGATTGGTACCAGAAGCGGGCTCCAGGGCCTGCCCCTGACTACAGCCACTACTGGAAATCCATTGAGGACCTCAAGAACAAGGTGGGACCTGCTTGGGGGGCGGGTTACGACTTCTCCCCCACTCCCTGTCCTAGACAAAGGCCTAAGGTCCAAACTGGGAGGCTGTAGCAGAGCCTCAGGCAACCAAGCTGTCACATTCTGGGGCTGGGGACAAAATCACAAAGTTTTCTTGCCGTGGTTGTCAGACCAGCCACAAGGATGCATCTGGAAGGCTGGGCCTATGGCAGTGTGGGGTGTGGGGCTGCATCTTTCTGGAGCGAGGGTGAGCACAGGCATGAGGGTTAGGAGTCTGAGCGAGCTGCTGATGGCACCTGCTGCTGATGGAGAATGGGGGCGGGTCCTTGGAGTGGGGAAGGCCTCTTGTAGGCCTAATCTGAGGACTCTCCTAGCTTCCCCATCTCTCCTCCTGCTCCTGGAGGTTGGAGCTCAGCAAGTTCCTGGTTGCGAGTGGGGAGAGGAGCAAGGTGGCTTGCTGGAGCCTAGGGCATGGGGCTTAGCAGGGATGTGATTTCTGGTTTGGTGAGGGGCTCCTTTAGCCCCCTTTCAGGGGAGAACTTTAGGGACAGGCTTGCTGGTTGTGAAACAAGGGGACTGCCACAAGTCCCCCTAATTCAGCCTAGGGACATGCCCTTACACTTCTGGGGAAGAGCCTGGCCCGGGTATGTGTGGAGGAGCAGGTGCTGGCAGGCAGGGTAAGCAGCTCACTGCCCACCAGGCTCTGCTGCTGCTTGTCTGACTCCACAATCATAGCATAGTGTAGAGCAGAGGCTGGGAGGGAAGAGGGGGCGCTTCGCCTCACTTCTGCCTTCTGCTCCCCTCCCATCGGGCAGAATGACCACCTGGAACTCCTGGTCTGGGCTGAGCTTCCACTAACTGGGCTGTTTTTTGTCTCCCAGATCCTCACGGCCACCGTGGACAATGCCAACATCCTCCTGCAGATTGACAATGCCCGCCTGGCTGCGGATGACTTCCGCACCAAGTGAGTCCTGACCAGGGGCTGTGGGCAGCTCATGGCAAGGTCCCCAGAAGTAGGGATGGGACAGATCGAGGGTTCAGGATACAGCAAAACTGGCTGATTCTGAAGGTCTCTGGGCTGAAGCAGGTGTCAGAAGGGAGGGAAGAGAGAGAAGCAAGATGGCCGAGTGGGTATGGGGTCCTTCCCCTCTATCCTGTCATCAGCCAGCACAAGTCCTCAGAGTCCTGACAAGGTGACAGCAGGTGAGGGGCCAGGGACTCCCCCTGCAAGTGCACGTGGGCTGGACTGAAGCGCTGGGTTCTCACCGCAGGTTCGAGACAGAGCAGGCCCTGCGCCTGAGTGTGGAGGCTGACATCAACGGGCTGCGCAGGGTGCTGGACGAGCTGACCCTGGCCAGGGCTGACCTGGAGATGCAGATCGAGAACCTCAAGGAGGAACTGGCCTACATGAGGAAGAATCACGAGGAGGTAAAGAGGCTGGAGCTGCAGGTTAAGGAAGCTGAGGAGTGGGCGGCAGGGCCCTGGGTCAAGGCTGAAGCCGTGGGAGACAGCAGAGTGGGCGCCGGCTTAGTGACTGTCCAGTCACTTAGTGTCTGAGCTCTGTGGTCCGGAGGCAACACGGAGAGCAGCTTCCTTTGCTACCTCCTGCATTGCAGTGGCCTCCAAGGGCCTCCCTGCCTCCTCTCTTGGATACCTGTGTCTCAGCTCAAATCTTCACATCTGGACCCCAGGGACATGTTTGGAAATTAGAAGGGGAAATATTGGGGGTACAGGTGTAACAATTGAGATTTTATATATATATATTTGGCGAGTCCTCAGTCTGATGGGGGAAACATAGGCTGAGAGTGGAGGTGGGTAAGCAAACATTTCCATCAGCAGGGTCAGAGGGTAGAGGCTAAAGAGGACAAAGGGAGGGTCCTTGGCTCAGACACCAACGCCCACGTGCCCATCCTCTGCAGGAGATGAATGCTCTGCGAGGCCAGGTGGGCGGCGAGATCAATGTGGAGATGGACGCCGCCCCCGGCGTGGACCTGAGCCGCATCCTGTCTGAGATGCGCGACCAGTATGAAAAGATGGCTGAGAAGAACCGCAAGGACGCCGAGGACTGGTTCTTCACTAAGGTATGGGCTGAGGCTGACAGGAAGCTGACCACCTGGCGCCTGTGGGATGTACCATCCTCAGAGAGTCACATGGCCCCGGGGGCATCAAGGTCTCCTATTACACCAACAGACCTGAAGCTTGGGCTAAAACTGAGAGTAGGGGATGTGTGGGATGCCAGACGGTAAAGACCAGGGGGAGCGGACATATTCCCTGTGAAGTAAGGAGCAAGTGCCATGAACAGGTTGTGTGTCTGGCTGGAGTCATAGCACTGTTTGCCTTGGGGAAGGGGCTCAGGCTGCTGTGCTCTGTCCACCATGCAGACAGAGGAGCTGAACCGCGAAGTGGCCACCAACAGCGAGCTGCTGCAGAGTGGCAAGAGCGAGATCTCGGAGCTGCGCCGCTCTCTGCAGGCCTTGGAAATTGAGCTGCAGTCTCAGCTCAGCATGGTAGGAGCGCCACCAGGCCTGGGACCTGCTGGGAGGGATCCTGGGATGCTGGGAGGGGGCTGCCCATCACTCTCCCTGACCCTTGCTCCTCCTTGCAGAAAGCATCCTTGGAGGGCAGCCTGGCAGAGACAGAGAACCGCTACTGCGTGCAGCTATCCCAGATCCAGGGTCTGATTGGCAGCGTGGAGGAGCAGCTGGCACAGCTGCGCTGTGATATGGAGCAGCAGAACCAGGAGTACAGGATCCTGCTGGACGTGAAGACTCGGCTGGAGCAGGAGATTGCCACCTACCGCCGCCTGCTGGAGGGCGAGGATGCCCAGTGAGTAGGGGGCTGGGGGCTGGACTAGGGATGGGGGACTCTGGGGTGATGGTGAGGCTGTCTCAGACACACATCTAATCTCTCTCTCTTGCCCTCTCTCTCTCTCCACAGCCTGACTCAGTACAAGCCAAAAGAACGTAAGGATCTTGCTGCTTGAGGGCGGAGGGTACTTGGACCAGGCAGGCCCCCACACACTGCTGGGCAGAGACACGAATGAATTCTGACAAGTGATGGCTTGGACAGGGACCCGTTAGGGCTCAGGAGAGAGAAGCCATCTGGGCTGATGGGTTGGGCGGGACAGGGAGTTGATCCTCACCTGGGAGATCCTAGTTTGATGGAGGAAACACAGTCCTGGCTTTGGGGACTCATCTGATGCGGAGACAGGGACATGGACTCCAGAGCTTTACTTTTGAGATCATACAGGTGGGTCAGAACAGTTCTGGCTCTAGGGCGTTGAACCTGGTGGGAGGTAGGCTCGTGGTCTTTATCCTAAGACCTCAGTCGGATGGGGGAATCTTTGACCTAGCCTTGGATTCCTGGTCTCCAGGGACCTGGGTGCTATGTTTCAGATCCCCTGAGACTGCAGAAACTCAGGGGCAGGATTCATGCAGCATCCTGACTGCTGGGTCCTTCTCTTGCAGAAACTAGATGGGTCAGAATCAAATGACTCCTTTGGGCAGACAAGGCCCACATTGGGGCACCCGCAGACAGAGGGAATGTGGCAAGAGCAGGAGCCACATGAGGGGCAATCACAGTTGGGGAGACAGCTGGCTCCTACTTAGTGGGCTAGGGGCTGGGAGCTGAGCAAGGTCCCCTTGGCTCCCATACACTTCCAAGTATCTGTTTCTCTTGTAGCTGTGACCACCCGCCAGGTGCGCACCATCGTGGAAGAGGTCCAGGACGGCAGGGTTATCTCCTCCCGCGAGCAGGTGCACCAGACCACCCACTAAGAACTCATCTTTTCTCTGGGCAGTCTCCAGGCAATGGGGAGACAGCCGTATCCTGTCCCCTGTACTAGCAGACCCCAACCTCTCCAGGCAATGGGGAGGCAGCCACAGCCTGTCCCCCCACTAGAAGACCGCAACCTCTCCAGGCAACGGGAAGGCAACCACAGCCCTCCACCACCAGACCCCTTTCCAGGCTCAGTCCCTGCTTCAATCCCTTCTCCTCATCCACCTCTTTCTGCTTGACACCAATAAAGTCTGTTGCCCCAGATATGAGATGTGTCCTTGTCTTGGCCACTGAAGTGGGCCCTGGTGACAAATGGTGGCCTGGGAGGGCAGGGAGGGTGAGAGAAGAAGTCTTTGGTTCCGTGGTTACTGACTAGGGAGTCAGGGAGCCCTCATACTGGGGTTGTGAGTTGGGGGAAGGGCTTTGCTTCTCCTAAGGGCTAGGAACAGCAGAAGGGCTGTCCTGGACCAGGGGGACCTCGCGTATCCAGATGGTCCCAGGTGACTGTCTTTCATCCTGTGAGTGGCTCCAAGGCCTTGGGCTGTCAGCCAGTGGTGTTCCCTCCTGGGGCTTCGTTTCTGCTCCATAAATGGACAAGATCTCAGCGGCAGGCTGAATTGTCTGATCAAATGCTCCTCCCTCAGAGGGAGCTAGAGGTGGGGTGTGAGGGGTGGAAATGGGAAAGGCACAAAGATGAGGTATATATGTGTACAGCACATATATGGGGGGGTACAGGCTGGGTGATGTGGACCCAGGTAGCTGGTTGAGTCTCAGGAAACCCCCAAGAGGGGCTCTTCTTGTCCCCATCAAAGCAACAGGGAGTAGGGGGAGCTGTGACTCCCTGAAGGTGTGGGAGAAAGAGGGTGGGGCCTCTGCCTTAAGTTCGCCAGGCAGCTTGAAATGGGGGCTTCACAGGTGTGGGGGCATCTCTCTGGCAGTCTAACCTCCCCTCCCTTCTCCACGTGGGCAAGCTGCATCCGGGGGAAGGGGAGAGGGGTGTGTGTGGTCCAGTCCTGCCCGGGTGGGGAGCCCCCTATGTCCCAGCCCCACCCCTTGGGGAGGTGGGTGAGCCCCACACCTGGAAATCCTCCTTCGAGTAAATCCGGAAGCTGCTGGGCGGGGCGCCCTTGCTTTCCTGGCTTTCTTCCCCGATGGGAGGGGTGTGTAGAATGGGTTAATGAGAAGAGGTGCCCCCAGCCCACACTGAGCCCTGGGGAACCATAGCAGGCCCTCCGGCCCTCTCTCCTGGCTGGTGGTGCCTGCAGGGGAGGGAGGCTGGGGACGGGCAGGAGCCCTGATTCTTGGGGTGAAGCCAAAGGGCCAGAGGAGGGGCGGGGTGGGAGGAGCTGCTGACCCCCTCCCTCAGCCTGGGAGCTCCTTTTGGCAGTGGGAGGCTCCCGCCACAGTGGCATCTGTAAGACCCAAGGCCGTGGTAGAGGCTGACCCCTCCCAGAGATCTGGCAGTGAACATGCCACGGGCAGAGACTGTGTGGGGGAGGGCAGGCAGGAAGTAGGCATACTGTTTCCTCCAGACCCCGTTCCTGGGCACCCGGCTATGACCTGAAGAACCTGCTCCAGGCCACGAATGGCTCATTCTGGAGGGTGAGCTCACACATCTGAAGAGCAGTCCTGGCCAGGGGCAGCTCTGGGCCAGGTGCCCATTGCATGGACGGGGGCACTGAGGCTCCAGGAGTGGTGACTCAGTTCTTCTTTGCAGCCTCGTGTGTCGGGGGCGGAGCAAGTGTGGGAGGAATAAGGAGGGGCAGGACCCTGCCTCTGTGCCGGGAAGAGGAGCCCTGCCCTGGGGTTCTCAGGCAAGATTTGCCTCTCTCTGTATTTCGGTAGGGGCTGGAGGTGTAGGGGGTGTGCTGTATCCTTATGGGTGGGGCTAGCACAGGGTGGAAGTCCCTCTCCCAAAGTGAGTGGGTGGGGGCTCAGGTAGCTAGAATGGAGGCACAAGCAGGTGTGCCAGGAGAGCTGAGCCAGGGAGGAGTGGCTGTCACACATGGTGGGTCCCCAGGGGATGGAGTGGAGAAGGCTGGGGGCCTTGTCCAGGGGTTCTGAACAGGCCCAAGTGGTAGGGACCACATGTCTGGCTGAGTGGAGAGACTTGGCAGCGGGACTCTAGAGACTCACTGCACCCCAGCACCGTGTTTAATACAGGCAGACACACACACACACACATCCACATGTGTACAAACGCACATATAAACAAACATGATACGCACACATGCTTAATATAACACACGTACACACACACATACATGTGCTCACAGACTGCTTCCTAGGACCCTGGTGCTCTGGTAGGGACTGACTCCATCAGAGAGTGGCACCTGCCCGTGGTATTGCAGGTGAAGGAGATGCCCAACCTGACCCACAAGGCTAGTGCCTGTTTGCAGGGGACTGGGGACAGAGGCCCAGTCTACAGTGTAAGTAGGGACAGGTCCCAGTCCTCAGGGAGCCAAGGGGACAGAGGGACTGGTCACAGGGTCAGAGCCCAGCCTGGGCATTTGCTTACTGCTGGGAACCCTGCCTCTCTGTTACCTGCTGTCCCCGTGTTTGCCACAGGGTCTGACTCCATGGCCATGGGGACTGTCTTTATTGTCCCTGTTCCTGCCACAATGGTTGTCTCCAGGGTGTTTTCTCTTTCTCTCTCTCTTAGTTTTATTGGAAAGGTAAATTTACCTTTAAGACAAGAGAAGGGAGATAATAGAGACCTTTTAGCCACTGATTCATTCCCTAAAAGGCCACAACAATCGCAGCTGAGCTGATGCAAAGCCAGGAGCTCTTCCAGGTCTCCCACACAGGTGCAGGGTTCCAAGGCTTTGGGCATCCTCCACTGCTTTCCCAGGTCTCAAGCTGGGAGCTGGATGGGAAGTGGAACAGCTGGGACACAAGCTGTCTTCCATATGGGATGCTGGGGTTTGCAGGTGGAGGTTTAGCCACTTGAGCCGTGGTGTCAGCCCCTCCTTTTTCTCTCCTTCTCCCTTTCCCCCCAACGCCCATTCTTTGGATTTGAGTGTTCAGAGCTATAGAACCATGCGCAGCCCGCAGTGGGTATTTTAACAACATTTGTTGAGGGGCCTGGCACAGTAGCCTAGCGGCTAAGGTCCTCGCCTTATACATGTGCCAGGATCCCAAGTGGGTGCCGGTTCTAACTCCAGCAGGTCTGTTTTCCATCCAGCTCCCTGCTTGCGCCCTGGGAAGGCAGTTGAGGATGGCCTGAAGCCTTGGGACCCTGCACCTGCCTGGGAGACCTGGAAGAAACTCCTGGCTCCTGATTTTGGATCAGTGCAGCTCTAGCCATTGCGATTTCTTGGAGAGTGAGTCATCGGAAGATCTTTCTCTCCGTCTCTCCTCCTCTCTGTATAACTGCCCTTCCATTGGAAATAAATAATTATTTTATAAAATAAACACCTTGGCCTGGGGCGATGGCCTAGCAGCTAAAGTCCTCAGTTTGAACGTGCTGGGATCCCATATGGTGCCAGTTCTAATCCCGGCAGCCCTGCTTCCCATCCAGCTCCCTCCCTGCATTGTGGCCTGGGAAAGCAGTCAAGAACAGCCCAAAGTCTTGGGACCCTGCACCTGCGTGGGAGACCAGGAAGAGCTCCAGGCTTTGGATTGGCTTAGCACTGGCCGTTGCAGCCACATGGGGAGTGAATCCTCGGACGGAAGATATTTCTCTCTTGTCTCTCCTCCTCTCTCTCTATATATGTCTGATTTTGCAATAAAAATAAGTAAATCTTTAAAAACAAAACAAAGCAAACAAACCCCAAAATGTACACCTGTTGAGGACATGTATTGTTAGCCACCAATCTGGGCCAGGTGTTTAATTTATTTCCTCTCAAATCCTCTAACCTGCCTGTTCCCATTTTCTAAGAGAACCAAGGCTTGGAGGAACTGAAAGGCTTGCTGGAGCCTTGCCCCTCTCCTGGCTCTGTGGTGCTTTGCTGTTTCTCTCCTGCCCAGGGACCTGGGACTCTGGTCTCCCCACCTGGGGACCTCCCTCTCCCCCTCAGCCTGCCAGCCCCACTCCTCCCACCCCAGCACCTTAGGCTTTCTCCCGCCTTCACAGCCTGAGAACCCCTCGGGGAGCTTGTAAAAACAGCTCCAAGATCAGGCTTGTCCTGGCTGTGCTGATGCAGGGCTCGGAGCCGGGCGGGAGGAAGCAAGGGGATGCCGATGACCAGTCAGGCTTGGGAAACTCTGCAAGCCCAGGCGCAGCGTTGGCCAATGAGGCTTCCCCGGGCGACTCAGCTAGGACATGACTTCATTGTTGGGATGGGGTAGGGCAGGACCGGAAGGGAGGACGGGATGACAGGGGTTAGTAGGAGTCTAGCTGGGGTCACTCTCTGTTAGTCTCTTTTACAGTATCAGCTTATTCCCCTATTGCTAGGGACCCCAGCTACCTCTTGTGCTGGGGCATAGTTTTCTTGCTAAGCACCCCATGGTTTCTTGCTAGGAGGCACCTTATCCTCCTGGCAAGAATTCCATGGCCAGAACCTGTCATTATCTCCCTCCTCCCCCAGCCCCTGAGTGCTGGGTGTTCAGTGAGGGAAGGGTTGATTTGTGACTCTGGTTGGTTGAGCCTGCTGATGGGTCTGTTGGCAACTTTCCCGCAGCCTTATGGGCCTCTAACCTTCAATGCAGGGCCTTTGTTTCATCTCATCTCCTTCTGGAATGAGGAGTGTGCACACGTGTGTGTGTACATGTGTATGTGTATGCATGCACAGGTTGAGGCCACAGAGGAAGAGTTCCCAGACGTTCCATGGTGAGAGTCGTGTGGACATTGACTCGGGAGCTGGAGCTGGGTTCGAGTTCCTACTCTTACACGTCCACCTTGTGTCATTTTGGGCAAATCTTTCACTCTCTCCTGAGTTTGTGTTTGGAGGAAGCATCTGGCACCTAGACAATGGGACTTTTGTCCAATATTTGAAGGTCCCTTTTGACCATCTGGGGGGGGGGGTCAAGGATGGGGACACTGGTGCTTTTACTCCATCCAGTCTGGCTCTGAAGGTGTATGCATCAGCTCTGTGTACGGCTCTGGGTCAAGTGAGATGTGGCTGTCCTGTCCTCACCTCAGCAGAGATGCTGCAGAGCCAGCACGGTGGCTGGCACTGTGGCTACCCCTGCTATACCCCTTCTGTGTGCAGAACCCTGCTCTCCTTCCAGCTGTCACTTCTGGACCCAGTCCTCAGCCAGTGTCATTCCTACCATGGCCAGAGCTTGCAACAGGTCCAGCCTAGGTGGATGAAAATGGAGCAGATCTCTGCCTGTCTACAAGGCATTGTGGACACTGGGAGACAGCGGGGGCTCTGGGTTGTAGTCCTGACTCCTCAGCTTAAAGCCAGAAGACTGGAAGAATTGCCACTTCTTTCAGGTTTGGTCTCTGTCGTTGGATCAAGACAATGGTGTAGGGGTGGACATTTGGCACAGCCATTAAGATGCTACTCGAGACACCCATATCTCATAGTGAGTGCCTGTGTTTGAGTCCTGGCTCTGCTTGCAATTCCAGCTTTCTGCTGATGAGCACCCTGGGAGGCAGCAGGTACTGCCCAAGTCCTTGGGTTCTTATTACCGTGGCAATCCCAGGCTCCCAGCTTCTGGCCTAGTCCTGGCTATGTGGGTATTGTGAGGTGAACCAATGGATGGAAAAGCTCTCTCTCTCTTTTGCCAGTCTCTGTCTTTCAATTATAAATAAAATGAAGGAGAGCAGAGATTTAGAGAAGGTGGTTCAAGACGATGGACTGGGTACCGGCAGCCGGGAGTAGACTGGCAGAGGGCGGCCCTGGAAGGTATCACCAAGGTCTTTCTGCTAAGGCTGTCACCAGTGGCTGACTCACTGCCTGGGGACGCAGCTAGCACAAAGCTGCCTGTGCCAAGGCCCCACTGGCCCCTGGGGCTCCAGGAACAGGAGCCGGGTTCCTGGCCGCCCAATCTGAGTCATGACCAACTTGTGTTTCTGCATTTGTCGCTCTCTCTTTTGACCCCACACCCCTTGATCTGGGTGGGAACTCGAACCGGCACACAGCGAAGTGAGTCGATGCTGGGTTGAATAATCCGGAGTAGGGAGTTGGACCGGGCCATGTGACGAAATCTCCAGGAGCCTGGAGTCAGCAGTTGGCAGGGCCCCACCTTCCCTGGCGCATATAAAGGATCCCGGGGCTGAGGCAGTCACAGCATCTTCTCTTGGCCTTGCCAGCACCTGCTCTCTTCTCAGCAGCCTCCTTGCTCACGCACCACCTCCTCTGCACCATGACCACCTGCAGCCGCCAGTTCACCTCCAGCTCCATGAAGGGCTCCTGTGGCATCGGCGGTGGCTCCAGCCGCATGTCCTCCGTCTTGGCCGGAGGGTCCTGCCGGGCCCCCAGTGCCTATGGGGGCATGTCTGTCACCTCCTCCCGCTTCTCCTCTGGTGGAGCCTGTGGGATGGGGGGTGGCTATGGTGGCGGCTTCAGCAGCAGCAGCAGCTTTGGTGGGGCCCTGGGTAGTGGTTTCGGTGGTGGCTTTGGTGGTGGTTTTGGTGGTGGCTTTGGTGGTGGCTTTGGCAGTGCCGATGGTAGCCTCCTCTCTGGCAATGAGAAGATCACCATGCAGAACCTCAACGACCGCCTGGCCTCCTACCTGGACAAGGTGCGCGCTCTGGAGGAGGCCAACACTGACCTGGAGGTGAAGATCCGTGATTGGTACCAGAGGCAGCGGCCCAATGAGATCAAAGACTACAGCCCCTACTTCAGAACCATTGAGGAGCTGCGGAGCAAGGTGGGCAGCTCTTGGGCCGCAGCCCAGGGAGAGGCCTTTGGTACATCTCCTTTTAGCACACAAGGAGATCAGAATGTCCCAGGAGAGTGCTGGGGCACCAAGAGAAGGGGTGGCAGAGGGGTCTTTGTAAGCATCTCGGTATTGGAGCTGGAATTGGGATCCCAAATTTTGCACTCCCTGAAAGTATTCCCTGCAGAGCTCAGCTTCTCAGGGCAGGAGAGGTGGAAGGTGTGGGATGTGGGTGCATCCCTGTGGTCCTGACATGGATGGAGAAGGTCCATCCTCTCTCCCAGCTGCAGAGCCCTATCTATCAGCTGGGTGCCCTCCCCAGGCCTGGGGAAGTAGTTCTTTCACTCTTGAGCCACAGGGCCCTGGGCTGACCCAAGCCTCTGTCCATTTACCTCACTCCAGATCATTGCAGCCACCATGGACAATGCACAGCCCATCCTGCAGATCGACAATGCCAGGCTGGCAGCTGATGACTTCAGAACCAAGTGAGCTGCTGGGACACTGGGCTGTGGCTGGAGGGCAGGTGGCAGCGGCTGAGGGGTGGGATCGTTCATCTAAAAGGTATCAAGGATGGGTTCTGAGCCTCTTCATTCATTCTACCAGGTATGAGCATGAGCTGACCCTGCGCCAGAGCGTGGAGGCCGACATCAATGGGCTGCGCAGGGTACTGGATGAGCTGACTCTGGCTAGGACCGACCTGGAGATGCAGATCGAAGGCCTGAAGGAGGAGCTGGCCTACATGAAGAAGAACCATGAGGAGGTAGGGGTGGTGGCTGGCGTTGGGGAGAGGATATTGGCTTGATCAAGTTGGCAGGTCCACATGGGGCCAGGAGAGGGGTCCGCAGAGCTGATCGTCTCCTGCCACCCATTCTAGGAAATGCTTGCTCTGCGGGGTCAGACTGGTGGGGACGTCAGCGTGGAGATGGATGCTGCTCCTGGTGTGGACCTGAGCCGCATCCTGAATGAGATGCGCGACCAGTATGAGCAGATGGCCGAGAAGAACCGCAGGGATGCCGAGACCTGGTTCCTGAGCAAGGTGGGGTCCAGGGTCCTCAGTCCCCTCCCCTCCTGCCCTTCAGGACCAATCCATCCAGGGCAGCCCTGCAGTAAGTAGCTCACGCCTGCTGCCCTTCTCTTGCCTCCCAGACCGAGGAGTTGAACAAAGAAGTGGCTTCTAACAGCGAGCTGATCCAGAGTGGCCGCAGCGAGGTCTCCGAGCTCCGCCGGGTATTCCAGGGACTGGAGATTGAGTTGCAATCCCAGCTCAGCATGGTACGGAGCTGCAGCCCTGTCTTCCCTCTGCCCCGCCAAGTTATCTCCAGGGCTACCCCTACACACTACCACCTCTTTCTTCCTTGCAGTGGGACTGGAGGGATTATGATCCCATTACATAGAGGGAAGAATGAAGGCCTAAAATGGTGGACTTGCTTTTCTCCACATTGTCTGGGTTATCATTATCCAGCTAGGGCACAAACCCATGCAACCTCTGGGGAAATATGCCTGGAGATCCAGAGGGGGTAAGGCACAGCATCTCTGCTCATTCTTTCTGTCTCTCCTACTTGCAGAAAGCATCCCTGGAGAACAGCCTGGAGGAGACCAAAGGCCGCTACTGCATGCAGCTGTCCCAGATCCAGGGTCTGATCGGCAACGTGGAGGAGCAGCTGGCACAGCTGCGCTGCGAGATGGAGCAGCAGAGTCAGGAGTACCAGATCCTGCTGGATGTGAAGACTCGGCTGGAGCAGGAGATTGCCACCTACCGCCGCCTGCTGGAGGGCGAGGATGCCCAGTGAGTGGCTGGGGAAGGTGGGCCCAGTCCCGCCCCAGTCCTGCCCCTGGTGTTCCCAGCTCATCTGATGCTGGTCCTTTCTTGCCCACAGCCTCTCCTCTCAGCAGATGTCTGGCCAGTCCTACTCTTCTCGTGAAGGTAAGCTGAAGACGGATGACCCTCGCCCAGGTGGGGGTGGGAAGGGGTGGTCCTCTTCCCAGGGTCCCCAACCCTCAGGCCTGCCTGCCCTACAGCTGGCTCAGCTCCTCTCCCCTCTCTCCCACAGTCTTCTCCTCATCCTCATCTTCCAGTCGCCAGACCCGGCCTATCCTCAAGGAGCAGGGCTCGGTCAGCTTCAGCCAGAGCCAGAGCCAGAGCCAGAGCCAGAACTCCCGGAACTGAGCTGCCTCTCTAGGAGCCCCTGCCCCTGCCTGCCTCATCTTTTGGTGGCAGCCGGGGTCAGGAACCTGTCCTCTCCAGCGCGGGTCCCAGCTGTCTCCCCTCCCCTCCGCTGGTGCTGGGTGAATAAAGCTGATTTTCTGGTTGATGCAAACCTGAGTGGTCTTTGTTCCTGAGCCTCTGGGAGGGATGGGGAAGATGGCTGTTTCCAGGGAGTCTCCGGGGGATGGAAGGGAGCTCAGACGGGCTTGGGGAGCTTTCCCATGGCACCTCTGTGGCCTCAGGAGGTGGGAGGAGACACGCAAAGGGCACATGGTGGCATGCACAGATGGACACTGGCCTGGAGCAATGCAGAGGCTCCTGTTTTGAGCTTCCCTGAAGCCCCGTGAGGCGGCTGTGCTCGGCGTCTCTGGGGGTTGTTGACAAGCCCTGATGGAAGTCAGAGAGATTGTGTGACATCAGGAAGCTATGGAGAGAGTATATGATTGGAGTTCAACCTCAGGTCTAGTCTGTCCGTCTTCCCTTCCTCCCTTCCTCTCTTCTGCCCTCTCTGCCTGCCTGCCTTCCTTCCTTCCTTCTTTCCTTTCCTCCCTTCTTCCTTCCTTCCTCCCTCCCTCCCTTCCTTCCTTCTTCCCTCCCTTCTTCCTTCCTCTTTTTTTTTTTAAGATTAATTTATTTTTATTGGAAAGACAGATTTACAGACAGAAGGAGAGACATAAAGATCTTCCCTTCGCTGGCTCACTCCCCAAATGGCCACAATGGCCAGAGCTGAGCTGATTCAAAATCAGGAGCCAGGAACTCCTCTGAGTCTCCCATGTGGGTGCAGGGTCCCCAAGGCTTTGGAACATTCTTCACTGCTTTCCCAGGCCACAAGCAGAGAGTTGGATGGGTAGTGGAGCAGCTGGAGCACAAATTGGCACCCATATGGGACCTAGGACTTGCAGGTAAAGGATTAGCCAGCTAAACCGTAGTCACAGCTCCTGTGCCTTTTTAAAAATAGCATATGTTACTTAAGGCATTTTAGTCCACAGATTCCAAAGCTTAACTCCTCACTCTGTTTCTTGCCACCATTCCTACTTTCCTTTAGTTGGTTAAGTGAAAGCTGGTGAGTTTCCTAGGAGACACTTGTCACCCATGCTCTCCTCTGTGTCTCCATTGCCCCCACCACACGGATCCTTCCTCCCAGAACCAGGCACAGCCCACTATCTCGGACCCTTGTCCATCTCTCCCACTCCTGACTTCTGTTAGAATACAGCCAGTGCCTAGAACCCGGAGCCCCGTGCCGGCCCTCACACCCTCTCGCCACACGCTTAACTCATGAGAGTTGCACACTGCTCCTGTGTCCCCTGCCTTTCACTGTCCCGCAACCCTGAACCTGCCGCACCTGCCCCAACTGCATGGCCCACTCCTGACTAACTGCTCGGCCCCCACCCCTCATCACATTCCTTCCTCTTGGATGCCTTCCAAGCAGAAAAAAAAAGTTAAAAAGCAAAGTTCTGCATGCATGCATATCATAAGGCTTTTTTTTAACTACCCCCAGCTTTACCCTCCTCCTCCATCCTGCCTTCCACTCCCAGCTGCGGCTCTTTCTTTCCTTTGTGTGTGCCTCTTTCTCTTCATGCAAACAGGCTCATAGTGCATTCTGGGCGGCCTGCTTTAGCCTCCTTGTGCAGCCAATCATATTTCTGGCAGATAATTGTGTTCACTTATGTTACTCTGTTTCTGTTCTGCTAGAAAGAGCTTTTATACCTTGCATTTCCTTGGAATAAGGGTCTTATATTTTTGTTCCCCTGTTCAGTGCTGGAGGAGTCTCCTCTTGGCAGGTACAAAGACTGACTCTTTGTTTCATAGGCCCCTATGGGGTTTTCACAGACAGAAATGCCAGGGTGTTTGGGAGGGGATGGGTGACTGGCATGGTTAGTTTATTGGATGGATCCAAGTCCTTGCTTTACCTGGGAACCGAATCAAAGTGGCTGAGCCTGATTTGTTCTCTATGGAGGATAATTGCTAGCTGTTCAGCAAATACACCTCCCTTTATATGGCTGCCAGCCCTGCCCTCAGGCCTCAGCGGGGAGCCTACAACTCAGACTGAACCCCAAATTCCAGTACCCAAAGGTCACCATTGTCAACGTTGTGTGAAGTTTCTTCTCGGAGGAATGCGTTGTAGAACTAAATTATTTTGAACCTGTATATTATTCTGCATTCAGCTTTATTTTTGTTGTTGTCACTTTTATTGCATTTAGCTTTATGTAAGAGTAACTCTTTGCTGTGTTTGCGATAGTGTTATACATTTTGGGGTCTGCCTCCACGGTGAAGGTGCGTCTTTGTTTTTGTTTGAGGTTATCACTGAAAACAGCATGGTTGTGAACATCTCTGCCCAGGAAGCTCTTACAAACCAAACGGTTTGGACTCTTTCCTTAGGCTAGATTCCCAGCCATGTCATTACTGGCAAATGTCGTAAGACTCTTGATCTGTATCACCAAATTAATGAGAGAAGTCGTGCTCATTTGCATATTTTGCTAGCAGGTGGAATGTGTGTGCTGAACTCAAAACAGGTTCCCTGGCTCCTCCGAACTGCATCTCTCCTAGGCCTCTTCTGTAAGTGGATCTGTCGTCTGCTATGGAAAGGGCCAGGACGGAAGGAGCTGCCACATTGATGAATGAAGTTGTCAAGAGCTCGAGCAACTCCTGGGCGGCTGCACTGGCTGGCGAGTCATTCACCAGAATGGAGGGCACAGCTGGTTGTGGCACAATACGTAGACTAGCAGACAGTGTCATGCCTGGCACTTGAGTGTCCCCTTATCCCCTCCCCAATTTGGAAGTGCCTGGTGGCCTGGCTTTTTCAGATGAGGATTCAAGTGTCTGTGTCTGAACAGACTGCATTTTGCTCGTGGCTGCCTTTTCTGCTTTCTAAGATCCTGACTCTGGAGGTTCTCGGGGTGCCTCCTAAGGCGCCTATTGAGAACACACCCTCAGATTCCTTCTGCCTGACTTGGTGTGGATGTTTGTGAAACACTGCTTCAGGTAATTGCATGAGTGCTAACACAATGACTGGACTGGGAATTAATGATAGCCCATAAAGTGTAGCCACTGATGTCAGCTGGGGAGGGGTGAGCGCCCAAGACTCCGCTTTCTTTGGGCCTATTGTTTCTGGGGAGCTGTAAGCGCTCAGGGCTCCTTTTCAGCTGGAGACAAGCAGCTTCTTAATAATGCCTGCCTTCCCATTGCAGCAGTGTCTGGCTGAGCTCCTTCTGCCCTCATTTACAAGACAGACACAAACACAACTACTGTTTGGTCAACACCACCCTTTAACCGGCACCCAGCACATAGTGTGGGCCATCCGGGAGGAATGCCAGCCGTCAGGTCCAGGAGCCTCGGCTTGTTGGTCTGCTCTTGCGGGTGTCCAGGGCATCTGGTGAGAAGTGACTTTTTTGAGGGTCGGTGTCCCTGGGCTCTGTGTGCCTCTCATTGCATGGATGTGAGGATCAGGGAAGATGGGGGTTGTTCTAAGAGAGCAAGGCCTTTTACTGGGCCTTCCTCTAAGGTGAGGGGAGGGCCGCCAGCATGGGCAGGTGCAGCTCCGGGTCCCCCATTCCCAGCAACCCAAGAACCCTGATGGTCCTGGAGCAGATAGGGGCTGCCACGGCAGCTGTCTAGAGAGGTCTCTATTTCTGTTTCCCCGTCACTTCCGCTGGCTCATCTGTGGCTGGATTGTTACACATCCAATCAATTCTTTAAATTCCTTGCAGCTTTGATCTTCCATCTGAGTAGTGCGACAACATGAAAGGCATTCTAGAAAATTCTTTTTAAAAAAGACTTAAGTGAGTCTTTATTTATTTATTTGAAAGTCTGAGTTACAAAGAAAGACAGATCTTTCACCTACTGTCACTACCTCAAACAGCTGCCATGGTCAGGGCTAGGTCAGACCAAAGGTAGGAACCTGCTTCTCCCACATGGATACAGGGGTCCTAGCACTTGGGGCCACCCTCTGCTGCCCACCCCCAGGCCATTAGCAAGGAGCTGGATTGGAAGCGGAGCAGTCAGGACTCCAGCTGGCTCCCACGTGACTGCTGGCATCAAAGGTGGTGGCTTTACCTGTTTATGCTGAAGTAGTTAAATTAACCTGATATAAATCTAGTCCATAGTTTTAAACTAAAGTAATATTTACTCTGACAAAGGTTGAAACCTGACAATTCTTTTATATCTAAGCTTGAAAGCCCAAGTATTCCAACTGGGTTTCTAACTGAACTCACAACCTACTAGGTTGGGAAAGATTATAACTATGTTATGTTTTGTTATCTAGACTTCAACAAAGAGAAGTCTTCAAGTGCCAGGCTGTACTTCAGACACCAGATGACTTCTACCTTCTACCAGGAACTTCTAGAACCCCCTACTGCTGCTATTACTCAACAACGCGCCCTTTCAGCTCGAAGCAGCTGGAGTGGTCACTGTCCCTTTGTCCCTGACAGCAGTTGGGGTTCACTCCTCTGTTTGGAAATGTGAGGAGTTAGATGGGATGGCAGGCAGTCAGGGTCTCTGGTTCCTGGTGAAGCTACCTTGTCTGCGTTGACCATTCAGGAGTAATGAAGAATCAATGACCGAAGCACAAGAAGGCCTGGCTAAGAG